AGGAATCTGCACAGAAGTTCCTCCTTTGCACTGCACAGAATGGCCTAATCCTTAAATAGCTTCTAGCTGCCTTCAACTTCCCTATTAGCTCCTTCCCTAGAGACGGCTTCGGGGCTAATGACACGCGGGGGCCACGGGAATCACCGACACGGGAGGAAACGGATGGGCCCCGTGCGAGGGGCTCCAAGGACTCGTGCGGTCGGGTCCGGCGTTGGCTTCAGCTCCAGACCCGGCAGCAGGTCCATCACACGCCGGACCGGCTACAGCACGGGCCCAAGTGACCACGCCGGAGCCACCAGCCTTGCCCACGCAACCCTGGCGACCAGCTCCGGGGTTAAGGACTGCTCCTAAGCCGCGAGCAGCACCACAGGGCGCTTTTCCCAGGAAGCTCGGCCCGCTCCGGGCGTGCTTGGGCTGCCCTTTGCTCACCCGCACCCAAGGGTGCCCGGGCAATGCAAACCTGGAGCCCTTCCCACGTGTCTCTGCCGTGTTCGGAGCCTGTCTGGCTACTGGGAGGGACCGGAGAATCTAAAAATATCGGAGAACAAAAGCGAATCAGTGCCCCCTCCCCAAAGAGGGCGGCAGGAACAACTGCATTCCAGAAGGGCAACGCACACCGGAGCCCGCTAGACCTAAGCTGCTTTGTAAGCTAGGCAAAAAGAGCCATCTGTGAAAGATTTACTAGCATCTGTAGTAAGGTTTTATATTACTGAAGGGGTTTTTTTATTATTTAAACAAGAGGTAGATTTGTGTTTTAGGAACTGCACCGTAAATTAATCTCCAAGCCTCCAAACGCACACTTAGCTTTGCAACACATTAATGCTGCTTTAGAGAGTGGCTTGCTGAGTCCGGAATTAAAGCCATGAATAGCCAGCTCACAGCCATGGATGCAGAACAGGCAATTTACACTGCAGGAGAAGCTGGCGAAAACCTCCGCACTAAAGAAATAAGCCAGAAAGTTGTTTCCTGTTTTCTAAAAGCAAACAGAACTGTTTCTAGAGCATGGGGAATTCTGATTAAAAAAGTGGTGGCGGGGCGGGAACAAACTGCCCTAACGCACCAGGAGAGCTGGATTAAACAGCGCGTTGCTCTCGGGCCCGGTGAGCAGTTCGGAGCTCACACGCAGCCCCTTCCACGCGGCAGGGAGGGCTAACGCGGCCCCGGCCACGCTCACCCCAGGCTGACAGCCTCGGTCTGGCAGGAATTAAATGGATTAAATTGATTAAACTGCACAGAAAGGAGCTCCACAAGAGGTGAGATTGGAGGCTTCTTCTGAGGAGAACATGGAGATTTGCAGAAAGCAAAGTTCTGAGGAGGGGAGCTGAAGGGGGGGAAGACAACAGAGCAAACCAAGCCAGTGGCCCCAGAAAAGCCACTGTCACCACTTGGTTTGACAGCAAGAAACAGGGCTGGTGCCAGCAAACAAGTGGCCTGATATCAGCAGGGAGAAGGGAACTATTTTAGGGTTTGTCATGTGCATGCACGGATTCTCTCTGCTAAATGCCAGATTTTTTAAGTTGGCAGGAGTATCAGTGATTGCAGCCTGCACTGAAGCCAAGTTGCAAGTTCTCAAATGAAAACACGGTTTTTCTGTGCTGGTCCGTGTTCCTGCCCATAGCAAACCAGCCCACACGATAAAATGCAATTTTCTTACTTTATTGCATAGCCAGACACTGAGTACCTGGTTTTTAATCATAGACATATATTTGCTCAACATAACTGCTGTAGAAGAATACTGCTGTTGTTTTAAAGATGATCCGTATTCCGGAGGTGTCCAGCTGTGCCTGTGCACAGAGGCACTTCAGACCATCCGGGCTCCGGGGAAACCAGGAGAGCCCTCCGCGGCCGGCCCTTCCCGGGGCCTCGTGTCCCTTGTCCAGGACACACACCTAGCTCCTTTCCCCTGGATTCCTGCACTCAAGTGTTTTGTATTCCACAGGACAGGAGTGCCCAGATTAGCCTGTGTTTTCCTTTAACTACCTCTCACCCTGGGAACATTTCAGTGGGTGAGGGACTGTAAAACGGTTTCCACAGCTACTGTTAGTAAACAGAGGGAAAAGCACAATGGGGCTTGGATTTCCCTCCTGCAGATTCCAAACACAGGAGGGGGCGGCGTGAGATCTTTTTCTTTAACATATGACACATAACAGCTTCATTTAATTTCTTCTTGGTTACGTGTACCTGACAAGTTATGTTAAACGGCTATTTAACTGCATTACATTCTTGATGCCAGGGGGAACTATAGGTTAAATTTCAACCAAAAAGATAATAGCACTGCATTATTCAAAGGTATTCATTAAAAAGTTGTGTTCTGCAGTCGCATTCTTTTCCATCAATCTCTGTACTTGGGTATTTATGTATTTCAGATTGCAATATCAAAACTATGTATTTCTATGTCATCAGATCGTGTTATCAAAATAAAAATGATTTCAAGGTAGAGAAGAAAATTACAAGTCTAAATGTAGAGTCTAAAAAGAAGAAATAAGACTTTTAGTACACCACTTGGTTCAGTCACCCCCATTCTCAAGACTGAAAGCAGGGGAAAAATACAGTACTGCTTTGACACACTGAAATGAGTTATTAAAAAAGGCGCACCTACAACTAGAATATTAGCTCAGCCCACAACAGGATTTGTGCATGCCAAGCTGCAAGCCTTAGTGAGCAATATAGCAAATTCCTAGTGGATGAAAATTTGAAAAATACCCTAACAATTCTCCTACAGACACTTTCCCTTCACTAAATGCAGCAGGACAGAAGGGATGTCATTATCCCCTTCAGAAGGCGCCTCAGACAGCCCCACGTTAACGCACACCCGGAGGACCAGATCTGGATGCAGTGACAAGGGGAAGCCCGTTTTGGACCTGAGATCATCACGGCCTTCACATAATCGCTGCTGTCAGGGCACAAACAAAAGCCCCATCTCAGAGGCAAGACCCACGCACAAGTGGTTTTACAGATTACAATTAGCTTCTTCAGCATTCAGGGACAAACTGGATGCCTGTGCAAATCACAGAGCGTGATTAAAAACACATCAATTTAAAAGCTGACGAGCACCATTCCCTCAGCTGCTATCAAGCACTGTGGTTGTCTCCCGGAGGTTCACTGCAACAGGAAAGTCCTGAACCTGGAGGGATGAAACAGTCTGGGCAAGTGAACGAAACCTGCACCCGCTGCTGCTGCTTCTGGCCATCAGCACAGCCAGGGAGACAACAGGTCTTCAATCACCAGGTACAAAAAACAAGTAACGAGAAAATTACTGAACAAACGGGATGCTTTCCTTAAGGGTAAGCGGGATTCCACCTTACCGAGGCAGAGTGTCACCTAGGCTCTCTACTTATTTTGGAAGCGTTTTCCAGGCTCGGCAGCAAGAGCCCTGCGGAGCAGGAGCCCCGCAGCCCCCGGTGCGGCCCAGCGGCAGCACCGCGAGGGCCACGTG